ACATAGCATGACCAAGAAATAAACTTCTATTGATTGAGGTCATTAAAATTTGGGGGTTGTTTGTTACTCAACATGAATTATCCCATCTGGCTGATGTCTCCTAATATGAATAATGATTATAAGATTTACCTCAAAGAGAATTACCAACCCACATTAGAGGATTAAAATGCAGTGGCTTGGGGCGCCTGGGTGGCTCAGTTGTTTATGTGTCCAACTTTGGCTCAGGTTGTGATACAGCTTGGAGCCTGGACCATGCTTCGGATTCTGTGTCTCCCTCTCTCTGCCCCTCCTCCGCTTGTGCTTTGTCTCTCTCCCTCTCAAAAATAAACATTAAAAAAAATTAAAATAAAAAAAGCAGTAGCTCTTATTACTATTACCCCCCCTTCTGCCAGCTGTCTGTATCTACCATTCTTATCAGACATTCCACTTACACACTCATACATGGCTCACTCTTGTCCATTTCGCTCCACCCCCATAATTCTCTTTCACTCTACCCATAATTGTCCTTCATTGCCCTCTGCCCACCCCTCTACCCCCTCACCCCCGCTTACCAACTCCTTCTCTTAGTCTTCTGTGGAATACCAGCTCCAATTTGGTCAAACTCTCTAAACCTGTTTCTTGTCTTTTTTTCTCCAAATGGGACAGATTTTTTAATTTAATTTTTAAAATTTTTTAATTTATTGTGTGAGAGAGAGAAATCGTGAGCAGGGGAGGGGCAGAGAAGGGGGGAAAGAGAGAGAATTCCAAGCAGGCTCTGAACTGTCAGCACAGAGCCGACATGGCACTTGAACCCATGAACTGTGAGATCATGACCTGAGCCAAAACCAAGAGTCAGACGCTTAAAACACTGAGCCATCCAGGCACCCCTGGAAACAGAATTTTAGAGTTAAAAGGGACTTCACTTCTCTAAGAATCTGTAGAAACAGACATTCAACCTCACTCTTCAGCCATCAAACATCCATAAACACCTTACCATCTGGAGTTCATTGATAGAAGTTACTTCTTCCCGAAGAGCTAGGTACTCTAGGTCACTAGGTACTCTGCCCCCCTCTTTTTTTTTTTTTTTTTTTTTTTTTTTTTTTTTTTTTTAGCTCTTAGCATTCATTTCCTAAGGGCACCAAATTATCTTTGGCCTCAAAGGAACCTGTAGTCATTTAGCTGTTCTGACTTCACCTCTCCCACACACAGTTTGGACATTTACCTTACACTATACAGTTAACTGTAGCCATGCTTTCTATCCCTGTACCTATATTTTCTTCTCTCTGGCCTTTCTAACCATCCTCATCCCTCCCTCAACATTTTACTGAAACACCAGATAGTTGCAGTCCCTGGGAAGTATCACCAGCTGATTTCTCTTCTCTTGCTCCTGGGCTAAAGGAAAACAATGAACTGTACAGACCCATGACTGTGTGTTATCTAAAACTGAAATAATTGACTTTTCTGGACATTTGGCTTTAGTGCTCATGCTTACTTCTCAGAAACCTCTCCTACCATGGCCTCTGGTTCTCTTCCTGGCCACACTTTACCTCTCTTTTCAAAGGTTCACCTTTCTCTGTCCACTCATCGTTTAGCTGGAAATCCCCAGAGTTTTGTCCTCGGGACTCTTTGTTTTTGTCTACATGTCTACATGTCTCTAAAGGAGTCTCATTTTTACCCTATGGCTTCTATGACCATTTAAATGTAGGTGATTTTCAAATGACTTTCACTAGCACTAACTTCTCTCTAGAGCTTTAGAAGTAGATATGCAATGTCGTATTAGACATATGGAGGTGGATATCACATGGACATGTCCTTAAGTAAACACCTTTCCCCCTCTAACCACAAAAGTGTACTATCCCTTCTGTCTTGGTCTGAGTTAATGGCATCACCATTTACCTGTCTCCCAACTTAGAAACCTTGGTGTTATTCTCACCTCCTTTCTCTCAACCCCCACATGCAGTCAGCTGCCAAATCTTGCTGCTTCTAATTTTAAAACATCATTTGACTTTGTCTCTTCTAAACTCTATGCTACTGGCTTAAAATAGGCCTTTGGCATGTCTTCTTTGGACTTACTGCAACAGCCCTGTCTGTAATTTGTTTCCCTGATCCCTGACAGTATTTCTCCCCTCCCATATCCTCCAGCCTGCCATTATAGTTATAGAAAACAAAGCTAACCAAGTCTTTTCTCTGTGTCAAAGCTTCTTCTGGCTCCATATGCCCACAGGGTAAAGTTCAAACTAGATAGCCTGGCTGTAAATTTCTTAACCTCCTGACTCCATTCTACCTCTCCTCCTTGTTTCCTTTCCTGTCTTCATGTTCTCTGTGCACATCCTATTCTCACTGCTTCCAGCACAAAACCATGCTTTCAGAAGTCTATGTTTAAACGCATATATGTATTACATTTATGTAATATATGTGTACATATACACATACATATATGTAAGTATATTTAAATACACGTAATATATTTATATGTAAATGTATGAATATTTATATGTAAATACATGTGATATATATTACATATAGAAAACATATGTAATATATATATTTCAAGATATTTCTTTTCCTCCTCTTCATCTGTATTCACTTGAAAAATTCCTACATGTGTTAACATCTAGTTTAAGCATCATGTACTCTGTGAAGTCCTTCTCAGTTCTTCCAGGCTATTGGTGCTCTTCCCAGAGCATTTTATATTTGCTGCAGACTTTACTTTGCGGCTTTTAATTTTTCTATTTACGTGTTTGCATCTTACATTAGACTGTAATCTTCTGATTGTCAGAGAACTTTACAGAAGTTGCTCAGTAAATATTGATGAATTAATGCAACATTGTTTTTCTCCCAAGGTGTTTTTGGTATCAGTGTCTTCTTTTTCATTCTTTCTATTACATATTTAATAAATAGTCAACTCAAACTTAGATTTTTAATAGCCTCCAGGATGACCATCTAGACAAGCACTGTTTAGTGATGTAGCCACTAGCTACATGTGGTGATTGAGCACTTGAAATGTAGTTAGTTCAAGTTGAAGCAAACTGTAAGTGTAGGATACACATTGGATTTTGAAAACAGTAGGAAAACAAGAATGTAAAGTATCTCAGTAATAATTTTTAATTTTATTTTGACAATTACTCATATGTTGAAATGATAGTATTTTGGATATATTGGATTAAATAAAATATACCATTAAAGTAAAAATTTCCTGTTTCTTTTTTTTTTCTATTTTTAAATGTGGCTACTAGAAAACTTAAAAGTATATATATGCGGTGTGCATTATATTTCCATTAGACATTGCTGTGCCCCTTTAATCATGTGAATCATTTCTTGGTGATAAGCCTGTGTCTGTTTTTTTTTGTTTGTTTGTTTTTGTTTTTTCCTTAATCCTTGCAGTGGTAAGCAGAATTTCCAGGCAGGAGAAAAATGGTGTCTGTTAACTGGTATTGTTGGACTAACCTTCCCCAAACATCCCTTTTTTTAATGCTACCATCCTACTTGAAGAATCTGCAGGTTTTCTGTTGTCAGCGGCATCAAGGCCATATTGCTTTGTCTGGTTCCCCAAACAATTAATTCTGTTGCACCTCACTCACCCAGACTTCTCTCTCACTCATCTTAAGTAGTACCCTTGACCTTTAGTCTGTGTTCCAAGATCCTTGAAGTCTGTGCTTTTGTGCATGCTTCTCTTGCTCAGTATTTTCTTCCTTGGCCCCCCCTTGGCCCCATTTAAATCAAGCCAGACTTTAAGATATGACTTAAAAGTTCTACCTCCCACATAATGTTTTTTCTGTTTATTGGAACTGACTCTGATATCCTACTAGTTATTATTTGTCAGAGACACACAGTTTAAGTTCTAATTTGTTCAGTTACTCAGCATCTTCACTGATATCACCATTCAATTGAATTACACAAGAATTTTTGAGATCTTGTGCCAAGAACAGGGATAAGTGAGTATGAGGGTCACCTTTATGCAGGGCCTATGGTAGGAATTGGCCCTGTGGAAAACTATAGGACACAGGCCCCATCTCATTGCCTTTCTTAGCATCTGTTCCTCCATAGGCAAGAGCCACGTTTATTCTGATTGCAAAAGCTTCATATTAGAAATTGGTCATATGCCATGATATGCCAAAATAGTCAAATAGCCTCACACAGGGTTCAAATCCCATGAGTCAGTCCTGATTGGGGAGCTCCGGGTTCTAATTAAGTGTCTTCTTTCCCTAGTTTTTCACACATTAAAGAACACTGTTTATACAGCTTCTTGTTAAAGTAATATCGCCCAGTGTTTGCCTCCTTGTGAAAGGCCTTTACTTTCCTTATGAAAGGCCTTGTTTTCACGTGTTTTAGACTCTGGATCCAGACTGCTTTGGATTTGAATCTCAACTCCTCCACTGGGTAGCTCTGTAACCCGGGCAAGTTATTTAACTCTTCCATACCTCATTTTCCACATCTGTATAATGAGAATAACGTTATCACAGGGTTGTGATAAGGGTTAGAGTTCATAGTTCTTGGCACAGAGTAACCACTCAATGTCAGCCCTTAACATATGTCACTACCAAACTATTTCTCTGGGACTGTTTTCACTATTTTATTCCACTAGTGTCTCCAATTTCTAGGATAGTGCCTGTTTCAAAACTGCAGGTGAATAAACATGGAATGAATAAATGAATGCACTCAATCACTTTTATTTATGCATTTCCAACGTTGCGCCAGCAAGCGCAAAGGCAAGAAAGCAAGTCAAAGTCACCTCCTTGTAAAGGTCTTCCTTCACCGGGTTTCACCTGAGGGCACTCTGGTACAGTGTGATCTCCAAGGTGGGGAAGCCCACAGCGGGCAGCACTAAATACCTTCCCGCAATCACCTTTGGCGAAGGGCCCAGCGCAGAGATCCCCTCCCGGCCAGTTTCCCGGGGAAGTTCGGCGCATGCGCAGCTCGCCCGGCGCCTGGGTTCCTTCCTGCGGCGCCACCCGGAAGCTTCAGCTCCGTCTCCCCCCTCCCCCTCCCCCTCCTTGTGCCTCGCCGGCTCTGGCTGTGCGTGCGGGGCTGGCCCGGCGAGGAGGCGGGACACGTCGGCGCTGCCACCCGCCGCCGCCGCTCCTCCTTCTGTTCCAGCTGCCGCTGCCGCCGCTTCCTTGGCTGAGTCCGCCCGCGGTCCGGTGGCTCCAGGTGTGTTCACCCCGCCCAGCTGCCAGAGCCCGCCGCCGCCGTAGCTGCCCCGGCTCCTCGCCCCGCTTCCGAGATGGCGACGCGCTCCTGCCGGGAGAAGGCTCAGAAGCTGAATGAGCAGCACCAGCTCATCTTGTCCAAGCTGCTGAGGGAGGAGGACAACAAGTACTGCGCCGACTGCGAGGCCAAAGGTAGCGCGGACGTCGCCGCCCCTAGTCGGGGCCTCCTGCGGCCGGTGACCTTCCCGTCGCCACGGCGCCCGGGGCCCGAGCGGACGCCGCGGCTGCGCCCGGCCGGCCCCGGCCCTGAAGGGAGGGCGGGCGCAGGCTGGAGTCGCCCCTCACCTCCGCCAGAGGCGGTGGCGAGGTCAGGCCCGTGGGCGCCGGCACTGGCCCCAACCCCTTCTCCTCCCTGGCCCCGGGGCAGAGCCGTGCCCGTGTCGCGATGCTCAGACCCCCCCCCCCAGAGGGCCGGGGCCAGAGCCGGGCTGGGAGCGCGGAACGGGGCGACGGCCTGGCCAGGGCTTAGGGTTAAAGGGTTGCCCTCCACCCGCCTCAGCTCGCAGGTACATCCGTGGGTGGGGCCACCCTTAGTCTCGGTCCCCGCCTCGACCCTTCCCCCGTGACCACGTCGTGCCTCCCGGGGCTCCGAGGCTCGGTATCTCAGGTGGAGCCCTACCTGCCTGTCCACCTGACAGCTTTGTACCGGGCTTTTGCTTCTTCACGAGAAAGAGTATGGTGGTCCTTTTTTGCTGGTTTGGAGTTTTACTGAGTGAAACCATTGGGGAGGGGTCTTTAGTAGTAGTAGTAGTGATAACTGTTTTTTTAAATCCAGATATTAGCCAGAATGAAGAGGAATTTCATTACGTGAGTCCCGTGGACAGTGTGCTTATTATGTTCCTGAAGCTTTTAATAATTATATGGTGTCTGACCAGTTGCTTTGGGAGAACATGTGGACATTGGTTTGTGTGACCCATAGACGTTGAAGGTGCATTTTTTAAAGATCCAGAGGTGAAAAAAACCCCCTAATTTTAGTTTGTTCCGTTGGAGGGCTTCTGCCTCAGCTTTTGAAATAGATACACTATTTTTAGCCTATATGTTTGGGTTTGGCGATCTGATTTATATTTAATGTCTTCTAAGTAATCTCATGAGAAAAAGGTTTCAGATTTTTAAAAGGAAACCTGTCATGTGTTCAGGAAAAGATCTTGCTTATTTGTAAATTGGTTTATTTGGTGAGAAATAGGTAGTTCTCCAAAGCAGAAGTCAGACTTTGAGAATGTCATTTAAGATTTCTGTTATTTGACTTAGACTTTTCCTGAAGCTTTACTGTTCTTACTCAATATTGTGTAAATGAGGCACGTCTCAGTGGGCTGATAATGTTTGATTAGACTAAGCCACATGGCATCAGGAAGTCACTTCACTACCATACTATCATAACAGGTACTGGATCACTGGAAGGTCATGTGGGAATACTGTAACTGACCATGTGTTGAAGCACTTTTCATATAGTACCTTGACTCACCCAAGCTGATATTTATTCTGTGTAACTTTTCAGGTGATGAATTAAAAATGCCTGATTATTGTAGTAAAACTTGTTTACCTCATATTGATTATGTGTGTGGATTTTTGGGGAATACTCTTTTGTATTGAGGCTCAATTACTCATCACTGCACTAGTAAAACGCTGAAAAATGGGGCCTTTAAAAGGCCAGAAAAAGAAATGAGCTGCATTTTGGGTAGTAAGTTACATGCTTAAAAAGAGATCCTAGTATATTTTAAAATCTATTCATTAAATATTAAATAGTAACAGTTTTAGTAAGTACCTTCATTAGGTATAGAAATAATTGAAAAATAATGTTTGTTTAAATTTTTGTCCCCCAAAAAGTACTTTATAAAATCAGGTATTCACTAATGCTTCCCAAAATAATTTATAGGTTTTTAAAAAGCCATTATTTGCCACATGGTAACATTTCCATTTCCATCTTTTGAAGTAAGGAGAGGAGAATCATGTACTTTTAAAATTAGGGCAAAAATTTTATTTTAATCTGAGGAAAAGGGAGCATTAGTTTTGCTTGCTATTTGTATTGCCACTGAGGTCCATAGATATATATTGCATGAATGTTTTATTTTGGTTTTGTTTGGTCTTCTGTTTCTGGGTTTGTTTTTGAGAAATGGAGAAGATTGGAGAGAAGAGAATAGTATCAAGAGTTTGAGGATGCAATGTGAAGGGCATGAATTCCAGTCATGATTTAGAAAGACCATTACTCTTTCCATGTTGTTACTAAATCTTGAATGATACTAAATTGATCTTCTAAAAATTTATTTTATTTTATTTTAAATGTTTATTTATTTATGAGAGAGACAGAGTGTGAGCGGGGGAGGGGCAGAGAGAGAGGGAGACACAGAATCCGAAGCAGACTCCAGGCTCTGAGCTGTCAGCACAGAGCCCGAAGGGGAGCTTGAACTCAGGAACCGTGAGATCATGACCTGAGCCAAAGTCAGACGCTTAACCGACTGAGCCACCCAGGCGCCCCAACTTCTAAAATTTTTTTTAATGTTTATTCATTTTTGAGGGAGAGAGAGAGACAGAGCGAGACAGAGCGTGAGCAGTGGAGGGGCAGAGAGAGAGAGAGGGAGACACACAACTGAAAGCGGGCTGCAGGCTGTCAGCACAGAGCCTGACACGGGGCTTGAACTCACAAACTGTGAGATCATGACCTGAGTGGAAGTTGGAGACTTATCCGACAGAGCCACCCAGACACCTCTTAAATTGATCTTCTGAATTATTTCACTGTTTTATCTTGATCTTCCAGGAAAAAACATCACAGTTAAGTTTAATTAGTTTAATTAGATTTGATCTCATAGTTGTATTACTTGAAAAATTTGACATGATTGGACCACTGATATAATTAAATATATTTTGTACAAGTTTTGAGTCTTTGGTATGGTTGAACCCCATTAAAGAGCTCTTTAGTAGGGTTCTTGGCTTGTTAAATGATTTTGGATTCATTATTATACATGCCAGACAACATAGTAAATGCAGATAGTGAAATTCTGGTTAAGTGTATTTTTAAAAGATATGCTAAGGGTCTTATTCTACACCTTAGCTATTATACAGAGTTCCATACTGTATGTATATATATATATATGTGTGTGTGTGTGTGTATATGTATATATATATGTGTATATATATATATATATATATATATATATAAATGTTTTCCTCACTAATAAACTACATCAAGCTTTTCATGTATTTTGAAGCTATTTCCTAGTTAACTCAGTTTTCTTTCAAAAAATACTTCCTCCACTGCTCTTTGAGAACAAGTACCAAAGGCTAAATTTAAAGTGTAGGGCTAAAGGGGCGCCTGGGTGGCGCAGTCGGTTAAGCGGCCGACTTCAGCCAGGTCACGATCTCGCGGTCCGTGAGTTCGAGCCCCGCGTCGGGCTCTGGGCTGATGGCTCGGAGCCTGGAGCCTGTTTCTGATTCTGTGTCTCCCTCTCTCTCTGCCCCTCCCCCGTTCATGCTCTGTCTCTCTCTGTCCCAAAAATAAATAAAAAAAAAACGTTGAAAAAAAAAAAAAAATAAAGTGTAGGGCTAAAGATTACCCCATTCTGTTGACTTGTAATAGTTGGCAGAGTTATATCAATTGGATTTTGACATTTTCTTATTGAGTCACCAGTGTGTGTTTCCTGAGTTGACATTATTTAAGAAGTAAGGAGGGAGAGAAGGATGGCATAGGTGCCAGTTTCCTGCTCTTGATTCTACACTTACTAGATCTGTTGAGCAACTAGAAAAAAAAACCAGGCAGATGGGGCTGGACTTCCTCTCCCTGGCCTCATTGGTGACTCTCTGGGAGTTTTAATACAGTTCTATTGGTTATTAGTTGGTGGCGATTTATGGAGCAGTGAGGATTTAGAGCCTCTTGCCAATCTAAAGTTTAGTTTTTAGTATTAGTTTCATCCACGGTTAGTACTAGTTTTGATTCTGAACGTGTATCAATTGGCATGAATATGTTGCCTCTTGCCCAGTAAGTTTTGGGGTAGTAAGAAACAAGCTTTTTTGAACACTTAGAGATTGTTTTGTTTCATCTGTCTGGTATTAAGAGGTTAAGTTCCTTGCCCAGATCAAGCACTTATTTCTTCATTCCACAGATCGTGACTTGAGGGGACACTGCTAAACACTGTATCGGATTATGGAGCTAAAATATTTGTGAGACCTAAGGAGACCTAAGGAGTTTGTTCAGAGAGGACTGCATTTTTGCAAATGAGTAATTCCAAAACAGTGTACTAAGTGTTATAATAGTGGTTATAAGAGGTGCCTCCCTCTCTACTTATTTTGGGCTGCTGTCCCATCTCATGTGACTTTTGGTTGTCTTCACGGTTCCTAGAATGCTGCCTCAAGGCCCTTGCACATGCTGTTCTTTCTGCCTGTGAAGTTCTCTAACAGTTTTTTGCTTGATCAGTTTTACATATCATCCCCTTTCTGCTTAAATGTTTCTTGAAGGGAAGTGCTTCTCTCTGATTTTCTATATTAGATTAGACTTTCCTTTATACGTGTAAGACACATCCTGAATGTTTTATTACACTTAAGTACAGTTGTAATTAAACATTATTTGGGTATTTATTGGGTAATCTATATCCCTGTTGGATTATAACTATAAGAGAGAAGAGACCTTGTTTATCTTGTTTAGGCTTGTATCCCCTGCCCTCTACACAATGGGTGACATGTGGTAGGTCTAGTGTAACTCAACAAGTATCTTTTGAATGAATGAATGTGAATGAGTACAGAGCCAAGGGCAGGCAGCAGGGTATGTGGAAATAGTTCACATATAGGCAGAGTGACCCTGTTGGAAAATATTTACAGGAGTCTTGTTTGAGCTAGGTTCAGAAGATGGAGTGGGATTTTAGCAGATGGAGAAGGAATTAAAGGAGACAGCTGCACACACAAGGTGCATAAGATGTATTTAAAATAACATAAGAGGTTTCCATGTGGACTTTTTTGGGTAAGCTTTCTTTAAGCATGGTCAGATTTGATGGTCGCGGGTCAGGAAGAACTGAAATGGTGAGAGATTCCAGGCATGTCACTTAATTATCACAGTAGTCCAAGCAAGAGTGTAAGGACCTGAACTCACTTAATGTTGGGGTATAGGGCAGGAAACAGAACAGCTGTAGCTATTTTAAGGAATAGGG